ACCTGAACTGAAAAAATGTTTGTACTTGATCATGCTGAAACCGAATCTGACATTCCCATTAACCTATCATTCCCAGTCTTTTGTCTAACATTAAAAAATGGGCAAAAAATAACAAAACTTACAAAAAAAAATTGAATTCAGCTAAAAGACCTAATGAATACGACTATGTCAAATCGACTACACTGGAACTGTATATGACATGTGAATCAACTTATTGCGTCAACTTATCTATAAATTTAATGAATGTGCCGAAAATAACAAGATCCCGGAATACAAATTTTTTTTTGTTTGCCTGCATCCAGGGCACCTCCTCGTGGTGACGGCGGGCAACGAAGTTGTACCGCTATTCGGCGAAGTCCCTGGATAACGGCTTAGATGCCGTCATGGCAGGCAAACAAAAAATCTTTACGATGCAGGGGGTCGGATCCCCAGTATCGGCGGCTGGTCAGGGTGGGAAAGCGGGCCCGCAGGCGTCGTCATCATGCAACCGCAGCTTTGTAGAGGTGGGTACCTCAGCCTCTGCAAAGTCTAAAACGACGAGACGTAAGACAACTAAAAGATGTTTGAGCCTACACATCCATGATCATCCACCTAAGCCTGATACTTTCTGCTACGTTTGTGGTAAATATCAACCAACAAAAAATCGTAGAAAAATAAATCAGCTTGTAATTGATGCATACAGATACTGTTACAATTCAGAAATAGAAAATCAGACAGCAAATTGGGTACCGCATACTATCTGCGGAACATGTCATAAGATGTTGATGACATGTCATAACAATAAAGATCGATCGCACTTGAAATACACATCACCTGTTATATGGAATCAGCCAATTTCACGGGAGGATTGTTATTTTTGCATGACTAACACTCTTGGTTTTAATTCCAAAACTCTTTCGAATATCAAATATGCTGATACTTCTTCCGTTGTGCATGCGATCATGGTTTTAAAAATACCTGGCCGTCCAAAGAAATACCTTGAGGGCGAACGTAGTACTGTTGAAGGTACTAAGACTGTGGAGGCTACTGAAGTAGTTGAAATGCAAGGAAGCGAAGAAGAAGAAATGTCTGATAGAAACGAAAGTGAAAGTGAAAGTGAAAGTAGTGAGAGTGACAGTAATAGCAGTTATGGTGAGAATAAAAAAGGAATCAGAATCCCACTATATTTCAATCAAGCTGATTTGAGTGATTTTGGCAGAGAACTAGGCTTATCCAAAGAGGCCCATGAACTTATGGCATCAAGGTTAAAGCAGAGGAACTTGAAAGTTATAATATTCTCTTTTTAAATGGTGAGAGATAACTGATGACTTCTTTTTAATTTGTCATCGATTTTTAAGCATCTATTTAAAAAGCGACTTATCGGACATAGATAATACTAAGATGAGAAATTAAATTTTTTTAGCCAGTAAAGTAAGTACTCATTGAGTACCCTCCTGACAAATCTCACCCAAGATCTTATCTGATATCTGATGTGAGATCTCATGCCAAATTCTCATCTGAGATCTAAGGTGAGATTTCTGAAAAAAAATGAATAAAAAACTTTTTGCAACGATTATAATATACGTTAATCAAATGATTACCGAAAATATTAACAGTTATAGGAAAAAAAAAAATCTGGCTAATATACGTTATTGTTTTTCTTATTCACAACTGAATCACACAATTATCAACAAATGTAATTTTTTCCAATTTTAATTCTCATAGTTAACCAACTAGATAATATTCAGGAACATTGTTTTCTTCACAAACAATATTATCTCTCTTAAAGTTACTCTTGAGGGGGTTTTATATCCAAGTGAAGCATAAAGTTTTAATAATTATTATAAATGTTTTTTCAAATTTAATAATAAAGAAAAACTACAATGTAAAACAGGGGGACTTGATGTGTTCTGAATAAATTAT